CCTGCTGATGGACATTTGAAAATAACTAGAGGAGGTGGAAGGCAAGATTGGGGTAAATAGAAAGAGGTTGCAGATAATCGAGATAGGGATGTGTAAGACCATTAGCTCCTAGAAAATCTTTTACAACAGTGCAGTTGAACGTCTAACATGCCTTTCAAAAGTAATGCAAGCTTTAATGAAATTTGTGGCTCCTGCTTCAGCACCCAGAACTACACTGATGAGTATTCTCTTATCTGTCATTATTGCAAGCGTGGGTAACAAGGATGAAGAACGCTGCAGATTTTCTTCCTTAAACAACGTTGAGGGTGAGGCCTAGACTTGTGAAATGGAAAGAAATCAGGAATTAAAATCCGACAACAATTTCTGGGTCATCTATATGCAGTCTATATTTACTCTACAGCAGGCAAAACAATTGAGATGGAAAATGGTCTTTATATTAAAAAAATGCCATGTACAGTATCTAAACAAAAATCCATGAAAATAATGGCCCTTCAGCACACACACACACACACGCCAAAGAAAACTAAAAACCTCACTTTGGTACTACTTACAGAGAGATTTTGATTAGGAATCCCTGAGGATAATTATTTTCCTGAAGAGCAATCATAGATAAATGTAAAATATGAGCCATAATTTTAGCAAGAGCTCAGAATGATCCATGTTTTACAAATGACTTTTTAAAAAAATAGTTGAGAGACACAAGTAAACTCATATTCATACAACCAACTTTTTACTCTTCAGAATGCCAGAGCATGCCGAGGTATGGGCTTTGTTTGTTGAGCTGTAGATAAAGCCTGTGAGACGGCCTGGGCAAAGTGGGCAAAATCCCTTTTTGGCAAATCCTCAGGAATATTTCTGTCCATCCAGACCGTGTTGCCCGGCTGCTCAGATATCATCAGGAAGTTGCTCTTGAGTTGCAAATAGGGCAAGCTGAGAGGAGTTAATGCACAAAAAAAAGTAAGGAACAACTGTTGTTGAATGTTCAGCTGGCAAAGGACCATTTGTCCTATGCCTCAAGTCACCTCACGAAGCGATGCAAACTGTGTTTTGAGCCATTTCTTTGTTACAAACCCAGGCCACGTCGGTCGAGCCCTGAGGATTGGTGCCGTGCCAGGGTCACTTATTCCTCTGCTGTTGGCAGAGCACTGCCAATGGGTCGCACTACTGCAACTCAGTGCAAAATTACTCTTCTGTCTCTTAATAACACTATTTAGATAGCACTAAAAAAGGTGGCAAAATTGCTTGTGCTGCGGCGGTGAATCTACCTGGATATCAGTATTTGGGGAACAAAACAAACAAAAAAAAAAGTCAGAAAGATCACCAAACCACCAGAATGAAACTGCTGTATTTCAGTCTCAGGCAATGAGAACCTAAATCCATCTAATTGTCAGACATGAAAAACTGCTGCTGCTCTCATTTCAAGCCAGTGGTACATACCAGCCTCCAAAAGAGTTCTGGATTGCCTGCCTTTTCAGTCTCCCATTTTGACCCATTTTGGCTTTAGGAAAATAGAGATGACATTTAGCAAAGGGAACAGTTTGACTGAATGCAGAACTAAAACAGAACACTTTCAAAATCAAAACTGATAGCATTGCAGTATCTCCCAGGTTCAATTTAGTCATTCAACAATTTTAACCTCATCAAAGACCAGTAATGCTGGTTACAGTTCCCTCCACTCTTAACTGTCAGGTCATGTGAAATCCAGTCTGCTTTGGGCACTGTAAAACTCTTGATAAGAGGCCAAAAAGAAAAGGATCACACTGAGCCATGCCAATAGTCTATCCAGTCCACTCCCGGGTCTCCAAGAGCAGACACAAGCGTTACCCAAGGGCAGACGTTCATGATCCTGCTATCTTGCCTCCAACTCATTTCAGCTCAGGTTATTGCCCGAGTCTAGATCCTTTCAGCATTTCATTTTCTTGCCCTACTGTCTCCAATTTTGTAAGACTTACTTATGTAAAAGACTCATTAGCCACATGACAAGCCAAATCCTGTGCTCCACCTAAACCAAACTTTTTTTAATTTAGTTTTTTTATTTAAATAAAGGGATTTGTTTGTTTGGGGTTTGTTTCTTTTTTTCTAGCATTAAAGAGATTTGTGAGACATTATTAAGAGCACAGAAGGTCAATCTCTACCAAAGCAGTGACTTTTCTTCTTCATTCCATCTTACATCCTTTCCTTCTGTGCACATCACATGTTTCAGGTTTTGAATACCAGAAGAAAGTAGAAAGTTACTGCACAACAGAAAGTAGAACAAGTCACTTTGTGATATAATCTCAGCATTTTAAAAATTAAAATTGCCTGCGATAAGCAGAAGTTTGGATCTTTGCAGTAAGTGGGTTTTCAGCACAGACACCTTGCTGTCAGCCACACCAGCATAACAGGTACTCTAAAAACAATAGTAAAAGGTAAATGCAGCTTTGAAGCATTAAAACTTACAGCCACTCAGGAAATAACCTAGTCTAAAACCAAAAAGATTTTGGAATGGTCCCATTCAGTGTAATCGGTGGGATTTGGGGCCCAGAATCCCGTGCCCCTGGCACTGCACCTCAAACACTGCTCCCCAGCCCAGAGGGCAGCATTTCAGCAGCGCTCCCAGAGGTGCGGAGGGTTAGTTGCGTTCACACCCCATCAGAAGCTCTTGTGAGGCAAGAGCTAAACTGTACTCTCTTAACGGTACTGTTCGAGGCTACTTCCACTCAGGCACACGCAGTGCTTAGCCACTGCTAGCAGCCTTTGCTCAGATGGAGGATGTACACAGAAACACTCCACTAGCAAAAATTCCGATCAGCGGTTTTGGGAGGTACATACCTGCATGGTGTCAGCGTGACATGTCACACTATCTTGCTAACCTGTGTCTTCTTTGTATTTTGCAAGTCAGTGTCACTACGGGTCTTTACCCTGAAGCAAGGGTGAGCATATGCATGAATCTGTCACAACAGACGTTGCTTTTCTGTAGGGGAAACAAATCATCCATAGAGAAAATGCCTATACGATAATCTGCTTTGACACAAGGGATTTACTTTGTCCCACTCAAACACATTTGCCCATTTACATTTTAAAAATTGTGGCCTTCAAAACGTTATCGCAGCGCTGCAGGAATCTTTCACCTTGGCAGACAGTGAGGCTTCTCACACGTTAAATGAATGGCTTAGTGGTTTTATTGTGTTAAGCTAAACTAAGCACTTAACTCATTAATTCATCTCCACTACTTGCATTAAGGAAGACCTGCTATTTTAAATGAGGCATATCTCTCTTTTTTTCCCCCTTCAGACATTTACACAATCACTTCTTTACCCAAAGCTTGTCAGTCATAGCTACCACAGATCTAGAAGCCAGACTGGGTTGGTTTTTTTTTTTGGTGTTGCTGGAATTTTCATTAATATCTTCACAGTTAAAGAGCTTCCGCTTGGCACGGGCTCCGAAAGTCAATTACTACAAGTACACAAAACATTGCTATGTTGATCAAGATATCTTAGCCACACTTGTAATGTTTTAGTATGCCTTAAAGCAAACTCTTGTTTATTGAAACAAGCTACACAATTAATTTGTCAAGAAACATGGATCTGCACAACTGGCTTAACTTTACTAAATGTCTGCTAGCTCAGAATAATTCTGAATTCCTCAAGAAGTAAAACACATTCACAGCCCTACAGCCCTACTGCAGTACCTCCTGTGGTACTAACGCCAGTGGGGGAACTGGTGCTATTGGTCTATTTATAGACATATGCAAGCCTATTGCTCCACTCAGAACTGAGAATTTTATGTATTACTAAGAGGGGAGGAGACAGTGTCATTAATGTCAGGATGGAACAAAATGCTGTAGACATGCAAAAGTGACCTTATTTTCTCATTATAGGACAGCATCAAAACATGTAGACAAAGATCTTGGAAATATAGAAGAAAACAAAAAACTAGAAGAAAACAATCATAAATCTGAAACTTAAGAGACAAAACATGTCAGTCATCATTCCAGGTAAGCGGTTCAACTGCAGCATTTCACATCTCTCTGCCCACCGTTTCTCCCTAGCGATCGCGGCGGTAGCCTGGAGTCTGTTGCTCGTCTTTCAGAGCTTGGGCAGCGGAGTGATTTTGAGTGGTGGACCATTAGGACAGACAGACTCAGCCCCTGGCCAGTTAAGAATTCATACCTGCATACACACATATTAAAGAAGCTTGACATTTAGACGTAACTTAGTACTTGGCTTTATTTTAATCCACATACTTGGGGACATGAAAATACAAATTTGTACAATATATCACTGTGGTATATGTATGTATATGAAGAGTATGCTTAGGTATAGTTTAGAAGGTTTTGTTATGACTTTAGATGTTCACAGGAACCTTCTTCCCTTACTGAAAGCAATAGTTTCTAAGTCTTTGGTCAGCTTTATTCCTCATCGTGGCAAGAGGCGTGAAACTTTCCCTAGAACAAAATCATTCTTTTACTCAAGACTTCCCATACTCATACTATTATCGATTTTATCCTGGAAAGAGACACTGTATGTTAAGATAGTAACAATTCAACAGGTATGAAAGTTTCCCCAACCAGGATCTGGGTAAAACAAACTCCATACAAACAATTAGGTAGATGCAGAAGTTCTGTCAGGAATTACAGGAGCACTACAAAGCACCAACAGCACCACCCGGTGTTCACATAGATATACACCATTGCTGCATGTGTACGTGCCACTGCTGCAATCTCTTCCCTTAGTACCCAAAGTAGGGGTTTAGACCATTTTTCTGACCAGCTGAGGCCATTTTAAATTAACACTGTGGTAGCACAACAGTGTGGAAACTAGCTAACCATAGTGAGGTTTCTTGGGTTAATCATCAACTGTTCTGAAAAACGAGAATAGTAAAATGTTCTAGTGGTGGTGCGCTGTGAGTGGAATTATCAAATTTCATATTTAGATTTAAAAAGTTTCTTTATTTAAAGACCACTCTCCTTATTAATAATTTCAATATGTTGGTATTGTCTGAAATTTTAAAGTACAAGGCACTATTTTTGCACTGAATATTCAGAAATCACTCAGTAGAATGATTATATAGTACAATAAAGAGATGGATCATTGCTGTATGCACTTTATTAGCAGTATCACTGTTTTACTAGTTTGAAAGAGGGAATTGGGAATACCAAAATTATGCCCTATGACTGATTTAAAAGTAGAAAATAAATCTGGATCTTGAAAAAGTTTCAGTGTAAATACACAGCATTTCTACTGCAATTCTATGGGGAAATTCTGTCATCTTTTTGGTTAGAGTTTGTTTTGTTTGGTTTTATTTCTGGACCTGGTACCTTCTGCAAGATTGCAATATTGAGGTGACTAGATGGAGCTGAAATTGGCTGAGGGTATTTATTGAACTTCAGAGTTCAAGTAACATGGTGTGCCTTCAGCTCAATCTCTTACTCTAATTATTTTATTTCTTCAGATCGGTAGATCTACGTAAAGGAAAGCTTATCCATAAATCCATTACTTACCAGATAAACTTGCTGTATGTACCAGGAACAATATTGCAACAGCTGGTCTTGCCATGAAAGAAAGTATTCTTGTCATTGAACGGCGGAAGAAAGTACTAATCCTGTAGCTGTTTATTTGAAGGTTAGATACTGACTAGTTATGTTGTTTAACATATTTTAAAATGTTTTAACGGGCTTTATCTTTCATATTTTCAGAGAATACATATAGACCAATTGAAGCATGAACGTGGATTGTATTTAAACATATACAAAGAAGTGACAGCCATTCATGGTTCAAGTATTAAACAGATCATACTACCAAGTTTTCAAAGGATTTTAGACACAATTATCTCAAGCTAAAAAAAAAAAACCCCACACCCAAAAACTAATTTTGGCAACAGCCATGATAATAGGTCACCATATTGTGTTCTGTTTGAAATATTTTTTTGTAAATGTCTGCACTGAAGATTTCTTTTTGTTTGCCTTTATGTAAATTTTTTACGTAGCTATTTTTATACACTGTAAGGCTTTGTTCTGGGAGTTGCTGTTAATCTGATGTATAGTGTAATGGTTTTATTTCAATTGTTTTTATGACACCCTTTGAGCAGGTACATGTCTAATTCTGATTGTTATCAGTGAAGCCTCTGCTTTGTAGCAAGTACCTAAAGTGTAAGATTGTCTTAAAGGAAAATGTCAAGCTCTTTTTTCATTCTTTGAGATCGCAGTAAAGAGGAAGGGTGACAGCTGTGACAAGAATAACGAAATTGTTAATAAAAGTGAACATTTAAAAAACCCTGCAAAGCTAAACAGCCAGAAAGGGAATAAAGAGTTTCCACGGAGAAGTCTGGGTATTGAGCAAGGAACACAATGAAAAATTCCTAGCCTATGTACAGACGGTGGCTAATAATCCTGTTCTTCTAGAGCAAGACACATTCTATTGATACATTATCAGTCGTCTTTCATGGTAGAATTAGGATAAGGAACTGGAATTCTGGGTTAATTTTGATTCCTTTGTGTTATCCGCTGCCTTAAAGTACTGTACCTTTTCTTCATTTCAAAAAGATACCGGTCAGAATTGGAAATGTTTTTTAAAAAGTGGTCATATCAAAGCTGCATTTTTTTTCCACAAAAATAGAATATATATATATTTTTTGTGTGTTTTTGTTAACTATGCTACAGATATTGAATGCACCTTGAGATAATTTTAGTGTTTTTAACTGGTACCTAATTTATCAAACCGTACATATAATTGTAACAATGAAATGTCTATGTATCTTTAGTTACATTCAAGTTTGTAACTTTATAAACATGTTTTATGCTTGAGGGAATTTTTAGAATGGTACTGATAAGAAAACGTTTTAGGGTAAACGGCCACTAGGAAGTTGTACTTGAGGGAGAGAAGTATCGGCTTATGCGGGAAGGCGAGTGCCTGGAAAAAAGTATCAGGCAGCTTTGATGGAGAGGAGCAGTAGAGTAAGCAGAACATCAGGTTTCCATTTACAAATATCCAGGGAAAAAGTAAGTTTTTATAGACTGGTAGGCAAAAATAAATAAATAAATAAAAGAAAAAGATGGACGTTAGGAAATGTATTTTGCCACTTTTGCATTATTTAGGGGGAAGAAAACACTGTTACTTGTAAATTTGTAAAATGTTAAATGTCTGGGCAGTAGTGACTGATGTCTTAATAAAAGCTTCCTGTAGTGCATTGGCATGGATTAAATACATAAGATGTCCTATAAACTCTATGCTGTATAAAATATTAGAGGGAAATCCTGTTACATGCCTCTAAACTTTGATTTGTTACTGTTTTATTTGGCAAAAAGAAAAAAATTATAATCTTGGTCAATATTTAAACCAAAGTAAAATGGGGGAAAAAAAACCAAAGTAATTTGTTTTGCATGGCTAAGCCATTCTGTTATCTCTGTAAATATTGTGATTTTTTTTCTTTTTAGAATTTTGTTAAAAAAATTCTAAAATTTTTAAACACCTGTTTTTCCAAAATAAAACGTGAACACACAAAAAAGTTAGTTTATATACAAATATATCTTTTTCTTTTGGTGCGAGAACACTGCCAAGCGATACACGTTTTTTTAAAAAAACAACGCAGTGGGCGTGACTCTAAACAGGAAAAGTTGTAACAGCATCCTGTGAAGGAGTGTGCAAACATCACCTGTCTTTGTTTATAACACTACAAATAGTTCTTAAATACAGAGAAGAAACCTCCAAAGATCAGAAGGGAAAGCATAGGGAAGGGCTGAAAATTTTCATACCACTGTCTGGGGAATACAGGGGAGAGGAGAAGAAAAAAAAAAGATCCTTCGACTTCCACAGCTACGAAAACGGAATAAAAACATCTCCTCACCTTTTGGGATTCCGCTAGATCTCCTATGCACTTTAAATCATCAATCCTAGGAGCTGGGTTTCGCACTGCTCCGAGTTCACTATAGGCACGTTTCAAGAACCAAGAGTGCAAAAGAATTAATGTTTCTATCCATGCCTAAACAACAATAAAACTGAAGTATGTCTTCACTCGCTTGTCTGAAATCTCAGTTTACAAGGACACGTACAAACACGAAGGAGGGTGCTTGCCTCGAGCTTGAGAGTTGCCGTTGCCGACTCTCATCCTGCAAACGAGCCTCTGGCTGGGATGAAAAGTCCCTCGAAGCCCGGGGGGGTGTATGGGCTTTCTCTTGGACCAGAGGGGTGTACGGGGGCTCATGGACCTAGAGAGCACGGGCACTCAGAGCAAGGCGAAACCTTCCAAGCATTCACCCTGCGGGTCTCTACTTGTGATCTGGTTAAAAAAAAAATACCCCAGCAATGAATCTTAGGGGACCTGTTGAAATCTGGTTTTGTACACCACTCCAGAGTTCAAGTTCAGCTTACTACACACGGGGGG